AGAGTTTTAAAATCTTCAATGTTGCTTTTCATTGGATTTTTATAAAATTAAAATTTTTAAGTAGTAAAAAATAAACCAAATTTTTAGTTTTACGAGTTCTTTATATGTTTAAATTATTTATATTTTAAAATTTTTTATATTTTTAAATTCTTTATATTTCTAAATATATTTTATATTAAAAATTAAAAATAGAAATTTATATGTATAGTTTACTACTTTTCTATCTACTTTTCAAAATTTATACTTTATTTGTATTATAAAAGGTTTATTCTGTTATGATAAATTTGTTATTTTTATTTATTTAAATTATTATAAAGATTTTAATATATTTTTTATATATAGTGTAATTTTATTAATAATCAGTTTTATTAATAATATAAATTTTTCTATAATTTAGAATATAATATCTTTGAAAGAAGAATATTTTAAAGTATGTTTAATTACAGTGAATTTTAAATTTGCTTTACAAAACTAAGAAATATTATATAGTAATATGTGACATTGTAACAATTGTGATATGTCTGAAAGGCATATATCAGTAAAATGAATAATGGAGAAAGCTTACGATACTGTGAAAAAAATTAATAAAAATAATGAAAAAAGTAGAAAGAAATTGAATGTAGTAAAACTTTGAAGTGATGTCTTATGAGGTTACACATTACCTAAATCTCAGGTGAGCCAGCTTCGAGAGGTATTGACTACGATCAAGAGGCAGAACGCCTCTGCTCTGCGAATGATGCTGACCCAGGACTTGTTGACCATTGAGACGAAATTGCTCAACCAGTTTACAACAATAACAACAACAACAAGTATCTCCTATTTCAATGGTTCTAGGCAGCACACAACACCTCCTGATTACACTAACACTCCTACTACCGCTATGGCTAACGCGACCACTCCCCATTGGCTCTAGCCAATATTCACGGTAACATTCGCAACGGATTTTAAAAAGTTTAATAAATTCTTAAATTCATCTTTATTATTTATAATCTTTATTCTATTCTATAAATTTGTTTTTTAATTAATTAGAACATTTGTTTATCGAGAACAAATAAGAAGTCATATTGTATGGTCCTTTTGAAATACTTCATAGCCACTGTTTTAATGAGTATAAGAATCTTTAAAAATTAATGTATTTATTAATAATTCTATTATTTTTATTATTTCGATGAATATTAGAAGTCATATATTTAAATTTTTAAAGATTTCGGAGTTAATAATAAAATCAAATTTTGCTACAAAAGAAATATTTAAATATAATATTCTACTCAAATTAAGATTATTGTTCAAATTTGTGTATTTTATTTAATAATATAAATAAATATAATACAATTAAATATAAAGATACCATTTTTTTTATAAACGTGGATATCACATTTATTTATAATAACATTTAAGATACACACACAGACATATATATTGAAAATAAAAATCATATTTACTTCATTTGTAAAAAGTATTGATGTTTTGAAAACTTTTTAGATAAAATTAATTAAAGATAACATCATAATCTTTAATATTTTTACTTTAATTATTATACACATTATAATAGTAATTTTCTTTTAAAAATACTTCAAACATAGTATTCCATTAAATTTTTATCTTCAATTTTTAAAATATTCAATTTTTAATGCACTCACTAGAAGAAAAATTTATCTAATTTACTCTTTTGTTACTTTTTTTACTTTACTTTTTAATTTACTTTTTAGTACTCTTTTCTTTTATTGTTTATTTATTGAAGTAATTATTGATTTTTAATAATATTTATAAAAGTATTTCATCTGAATATAAAATATACACATTTATAAAAGAAAAAATGAAGATAAAGGTATTTAATTAGTATTCTACATAAAACTTGATAGTAATTATATAGTTATTATTCAAATTTAAAAATGAATTATTCTCAAAGTTCATTTTGTAATTTAACATTAATTTTAATAAAGTGTTTAGTAACTAAATAAATAAATCAACTTTTAATAAAAATATATTTAATATTATTATCAAATTGAAACTTACCATTAATAAATAAAAAAAAAATTATTAAAATTTTCAATTATTTTCATAAAATTACATTAAAATTATAAATTTATTGAATTTTTTTCTAAAGAATATTAAATTATATTTTATCATTATTTCATTATATTAGCAATTTTGCAATAATAATACTTAGTTTAAATTTTTCAAATTTGTTAGAAAATAATTTAGGTATAATCAAAACTTCTTACACATTTACATAATTTTATAATACATAGTTTTATCATAAACAATTTTCATTATTTTAATAATTTTATTAAATTCTTAAGTAATACTTAATGAAAAATATTAATGGTAATGTGATCAAGTTAAATTTAATATATGAGTGATTATTGTTATTTATTGAAAAAAAATGTATCTAATAATATTAAAAATATAAAATGATTTAACTTTAATAAATTTCTAATACTAATATAAATCATTGTATTATAATACTATTAATGTTTTTATATATTATCAAAAGTGTAATTTAATCAAATTATAAATCGTATTTAAATATTTTGCATTTAATAAAGTTAAATTGTACTATTGAAAATAACTATTGAAAATTTGTACTACGCTAAGTAAAATTGTCAGTGATGTAAGTGTAATATATATTTCATACAGTATACTATTTTTGTTATGACCCAAATGAATATTCAGAAAAATACGATATGCAATACAATTTTAGTAAAATGTAAATGTAACAAATTCAGTTACGGTTAATTCAATATTGATATACAATATATCATAATCATACATATATCATAATCATATTTCACGTAATACACAAGGATATAGATTTATAAATTATTTAATATTAGAATTTATATAATCTAATATAATAATTGTAATAGATTATTTATGCATAGGTTTAATATTAAATATTTATTATACATTCTTCAAAGCGTAATAATATATAATCGTTAAATTTCAGCTGCTGCATCAACAAATAAATATTAATTTACCTTATGTTGTAGTCAAATAAGAATGTCGAATGTAGATTTATTTTTTATTTGCTATTAATTAATGTGTGATTGTAAGAATTGGCAAGTAGACATACAAATAATTTAACAGAAACAAAAAAGTGTAAAACATAATGTATAATGAAAATAACATCAAATAAATGGAATATATAAAAAAATATACAATTAGATAAAATTATGTTTTAGAATTCTATTGGTAAATTATTTGTGTGCATTGATGAACTGATTACCTATCAAAAAATTTCGATTTATTGTATACCATCTGAATTTTTTTCCTTAATACTTATTAGTTATTATTAATTAGTCAATATATTATAGTTATAATGATTGAATGTTGAATTGTTCTAAATCATAAGTATTTACCATTTTATTAATAATAAAGTAGAGTGAAACAAATAATACATTGAAAGATATTTATTTTTATTTAGTTTCAGTTAAAAATACCATTTTAGTACTTTTACAATAATGTGATCAAAAATACATCTTCTGAGATACTGCTGTTATATTTAAATAAATTCAAATTATTAAATGACTTTATATTATTATTTAAGAAAATATTATCAGTTTCGCTAAAAAAGTTTAATTTTATCATTTTAAAATTTAATTAATAAATAATATTTAAATAACGTGGATATAGAAACGGAATAATTAAATTATAAAAAATATAATTTACTTTTTGAATGATATGTATTTGTTAATTGAATGAAAAATACCTATAAAAAATTTTATTAATATCTCTTACCAACATTTACATATTTTTAATTTGTTTGCCGTAATATAATTTTATGATGCTTTTCTTTTATTTTGTATAGATATAGAGTTTTATTTTTAAATATATTAATTTTTAAAATAATCCTGAAGGCCCTTAATTATAACTTATTATATTTGTAGTTTTCTTTAAAAATTTGTATATAAATATTTGTTTTAGTGATTAAAATGCCTTTTATTTTTATTTTATTAATTATTTTAATTTTATTTTTATTTTATTATCTTTTTATTTTATTAATAATATTTTTTATATATATAGTTCAGTTATCGTGTATACAAAAGAAATAAGTAAAATAGATATTTGTTATTCATTAATATTCCAGAACTACTTATTATAGAACTTATTTATAAAATTTAATTTAATATATTATTGATTTACGTAAATATTTGTAATTCATAAAACTTAATTTTGTATTCTGTTTTCTCGTTTGAAGACATAGGTAATATATTTTAAGACGAAATTGAAATCCAAATCTGTTTTCTGTAGGCAAAATATTATTTATTATTTTTATATAATTATTATATAACTATGAATATTGTAGAAAAACTTGAAGTTTCACAGTAAAAGTTATAAAATAAAAAAAATTGATTAATATTTGATTTAGTAATTCTTTTTAATTAATAAAAAATTGCATTTTTATAAAAATATGAAAATAAGTTATATTACAAAGTTTATAAGGTTTATAAGCAATTTTTAACTGCAATTATTTTCTTTTATCTTGTAATTAAATGTATCTTTTTAGGTATTTTTATTAGAAAATCAGCGAAATGAAAATGTGAGTCAATCTTCCGATGAAAAATCTTACGTCTTTCTATTTCATTCACCATTGATAGCATCAACTTTGAAACACAAGTTTTACTTTATACGAATACAGATGAGAGCTTTGGTTATTGGATTACTTGTACATCAAATGTTGCTCCAGTGCATTGCAAATGTATTGTTACAGGGAAGTGAAACTTCTATGCCAAGGTAAAGACATATTTTTTAGCATTTATTATGTTATTCAGAAAACAACGACACAGAATTCTATTAGAAAGTTATATCAAGAAAATAAATTAATCTATTATTATCTTATCTATTATATTATTTATCAAAAAACAAATACTTTTTTTATTAGAATGTTTATATTTAAATTATATTTCGTTTTTAATGAAATTATATATTAAATAACAAAATTAACAAAAGTCAATACTTTTGATAGAATAAATAAATACAGTAACTTATAAGGCAACATATGTTATACATCAATTATAATAGTATCTATAATTTTTACTTATAATAATATTTTGTATAAAAAACATTTAAAATTTTATATAAATTTAAAAAAATGAACATATAATTAAATTTGTATTTAACTATTATTATTTGGTTAAAGTATGTTCAATATTTTCGTATTCTATTCATTATAATATTCGTAATGATATTTCTTTTAAGTTACAATTTAACGAGTGTTTTATCGTATAATTACAGTTTATTAAAAAAACTCATTCAGTGTTTGATATTATTATATATAACGACAGTATCAAACACAAATTTTTAAACTAAATAAAAATTTGTCACTGCATACAAATATAAAATGGATTAAAATATTTAAAGTGAACGCTTGTTTCAAAATTGTTTTTTCAGACACTACAATGTTTTTATGAGTCCAATGATTTCTTCAACAAAGCATTCAATATTTACTTTCCTGACTCATTTGGAGCCTCAACATTTGGACAATTTTTTATCAGCTCTTGATCTTTCATATATAGCAGCTATCAAATTTGATTCGCGACCGGGCCTAAAGTTTCTTCTTCAAAAAGTTGCCAATCTTCGCCGTCCAGCAAATCTGTATCGACAAGCTAGAACTGCTTGGACTGTTAAGATCTTTAGCCTATTTGAATTGTGTTTATATGAGGTATCTAAAAATAATGTTGATCTAGAGTTGGTAACAGATCTTTTAAATGGTGTAATACATATTATACCAAAATACAAGAAACTTTTGAAATATTTAAATTTACTACAAACAACATTTGAAGAGCTTTGCAACACATATGTGGATATTACTTTGGACAAAGATGGAAGATATACCAAAGTAGATATGATTGAAGCAGAAAATTTCTATTTCATACTTTCTCAGCCAGATATATATGCAGAAATTATGAGAGATCCACTAAATCAAAAATTTCCAAATGAAATAACAAGTTAGTAGCTATTAAAGTACTAATTACGGTAATTTACATATAAATAAAGAAATATAATACATATAATCGTAAACAAACTTCAAATACATAATATAATTAAGTAAAGATAACAATAAAAAATGAAGATGTTTTTCTTTACATTAAATTTAAAATCAAATAAAGAATAAAAATTCTAAAATAAACGAATTATATTAATATCCTCATAGCAATCATCTATTTATGAAAATCATTTTTCATTACAAATTAAATTATTGTGTTTATAACGATATTATAAAATTTACTATCATTATTTATTTTTTTGGTGAATATATCTTTCACAATTCAAAGACAAATTTTCAATTTTTAAAATAAATACTAATTAAATTTTGAATAAAACATATTTAAAATACTATTTATTAATAAAAAGAAATGTTTATATTATTATACAAAACTGATCATGACTCAATTGTTAATTTTAATAATTATAATTACATTTTTAAATATAAAATATATATTAGTATATTATATTAAATTCAATTAAAAATAAATTAAGTAAATAAATATATTTCAAGTTATAAATATTTTTATTACAAGAAATATTTATAAATACATGTTTAATATTAACAAGCTTAATTTCAATAAAAAATTAATTCGATACCAATATTAGAGAATGACTACCAAGTCGACAAGAACAGCATAAATTTCGGCAAGAGTGCGCTAAATGTAGAAATGAATATCCTAGGGGAAGAGGAAGAAGATTATTACCGATCCTTTTGCTTATCAAATCTTGCGACTGAATATTCTATAGATTCTGGGTCACCATCTGCACCTGACACATACAACTCAAGATCAATATCACGATTGGGTTTTAGTAACTCGCAAGTTATATACATAGATCACTCAAGAGGTATTCCGCTTGAAGACTTGATGAATCCATTTAATGAGTTATGTATTCACACTCCAAAAATTTTTGGTCAGGAAAAAAAAGTCTTTAGATATAAAACTGTTATTAGAAATTCGAAATCGTACATCTTGGATAATAACCAATTTTCGAATAAGTCGAATAAAACTTTTAAGGCTATCGGATATCCGAAGCTCAACAAGTGGAAAAGTGATGATTGCCTATTATACAAAAGGTATGAATGAATGATATTCATTATTAGATTTAGTAGTAAATTGTTTGATTTTGAAAGCAACTATTTTTACAAGTTTATTGGTTTATATACCAAATAAAAATTTTTTTTGTTCATTTGATGTATTTTATAAAATTATTTTGAATTATTATTAAGTATTATACAAAATTAAAAACTATTTTTTATATTGTTATTATTAAAATAATCAAATAGAATTACTTATGTAATTTAAAAACATAAAAAGTATAATTATATAAAATAATAGACTAAGTTAAAAGTAAATTAGTAACTTAATAAAATAATTAGAATCTTTAATGAGTAAAATATTTTATTTTTAAGAAATATTCAATATGTCGTATCAATATTAGTAGTATTTTATAACATGATTATAATTTTATGTTCTTCTAAAGGAGCCAAAAGGTTCAAACAAACTATTATAGCTAGTATTTACTAGTATTTGCATCCTATTTTGTTTAGTTATCTGTATTTTGTGTATATTTTGCAGTATTTTATTTGAATAATGCTGCAAAATATTTTTCTATAACAGCTTTAATCTATCAAAGTGAATAAATATTATTTTATGCGTATATAAACAAATTATGGCTCAGATTTTTCTGAAATATAAGTAATCAAATAAGTAATTTGATGCGTAATGATTAAACAAAATTAAACGAAGGAGATATATAAAATAATTATTTTATTTTATGTATATTATTCATGAGATTGGATGCTGCAACTTTTCAGATGTAAATTGAATTTCATAAAGAAAAACGACATCGATACGTTCATGAAAAGAAAAAATTTTTGCTTTCGTTCAAAATCTATGGTGGAACTTCGTCGATCTAAAGAAATATATATCATGAGACATAATTTTATAACAATGTATTCAGAGTTATTAAAATATAAGAAGAATTACGTTCAGAACAAAATGAGTCTCAAAAAAAAAAGTTTAAAATCGCAAAAAGAGTCTTTAAAAAGAGTTAAAATTTTATTGGAGGAGTTCGAAAAAAGTACACGTGGTTATCATACTAATCCATTTATGGAAGATGAGAAACAGATACTGATGACAAATCGATGTTTCAATAGTATCGATGATGCTAAGCAACCAAACTGTCAAGATAACAGTGATAGTGAAATACATCGGAAAGTTTGGGCCGACATGGTGGGAGCCACTCTTGAATTCGTTCTGACACTCACAGTGAGTCGCATTTTTAGAATTTATAAAATGCCGAACTAAATACATTTTACTTTTAAAATTAGTTAATGTAAGAATCGTACTTTGGTGTTAGTAATTTATATCAATGCTTTTATGGTTTAATTTAAAAAGAATTTATAAATGAGTGAAGTTGTTGTTTTATCAGTTTGCAAATAGCAATTAAATAGTTTCATTAGATTTAAGTTTATAATTTAACTTTATAATTTAAATTTATTAATATATTATTTTTATATTTTTAAATAATAGGCAACGTATTGAATAATTTAAAAGTTAATGAATAAAAAGGTAGAAACAAAGTTGAACAAAGAATATTTGTTTTTTGTTAAATAGCTTTTGTATTTTTAAATTTAACGATTAAATTAATTTTTTTTTAATTAAAAAGAATGAATTATCATAAATTTAATTTTTATGAACCTTTTTTCATATAAATTTCACTTATAATAATAATTTATTGTCCTTTAATTCTCCAACTCAAGAAATCTAATTTTTATCTTTTTTTACGTGTTAGATTACAATAGGTATATTAAAATAATGAAATCATAAATAAAAAAAACCATCTAATTGCAGGATGAGCAATTGGCGCCGCTACTTCCAGTTTTATTTAATGGTGTCAAAATTTTGATACAAAACGCTTTTGAATCGATACTAAGGCAACGATTGTCTACCCTATTTCAACGCATTACCTCCATCTATGGATTGACCGTAGCAGCGACAAATAGTGATACGGGAGACGATCGACAATAAGTGAAATTAGTATGTGCGGTTCAAATTGTGCCAATTACAAAATTCAATGAAATTAACTGTTACAGCAAATATAAAAATACTATTAATCCTTGAAGTTTTCTCTGCAAATTAATGAAAAATTTTAAAATCCAATTCAATGATAATAAATTGTATAAAAGATAACAATAGACAACAAAATAGATTGGATAAACATAATAATACAAGTTTTATTGCTTGGATTTATTAATATTTTATGATACCACAAATCTTGCTTATGTAATAATATTATATGTAATAATAGATATTAAAAATATAGTTTTAACAAAAAAAAAAATCCTTTTAAAACATTGTAGATAGACATAGTACAACAGTAGTGTAGTTTAGTATAATTTTAGTATGGATATGTAACTAATAATTTAATTATTTCTGTTCTTCTAAAAACACCGTTATGGAAATTTATAAAAATTAAAATATAAGCTTGTGATTTATAAAAGTGAACAAATATAATTAAAATTTTTATAATAACATTTATTATTACTACTGTATATATAGTGAATTCTTTTTTTACTTAGTTCATATCTTTGTATTGCAAATTATTTAAAAACTGTTTTTATTTTATGATTTCAACAAATTTTCTTCTAATAAAGTATTCAAAAAGTATTGTATAGTGAAATATAAATTATTAATATTCGTACAAATGAGTTTTGAACGTATCTTTTAATGTAAATAAAGCAATAAATCACTTAGAAAATAATTAAAAAAAAATGTATAAAACTATTATAAAATTACAATAAAAAGAAAACAAAAATATAATTTTTGTCTAGAAATACTAATAAAAGGTTTTGTTTTTAATTATAAGATCTTATATTATTATTTTAATTACGTATTTTTCTAAACACAAATATTACAATATGCAATGAACACTACTGGGTATTAATTACAAATATTATATTTATAATATCTGTATATTTATAGGTATATTAAAAATATAAAATTAATAAGACTCATCAATAAAAATTGTTTTAAATTCATATAGTATGTTTATATTTATATTATATGTCAATTAATGGTAAAAAAATATAAATTATATTAATTGAAGGAAATTAAAATTTTTTATATTTTATTGTATTATCAAAGCTATTAATTAAAAGTTAATAAATTAATGTATATATATACAAATTTACTGATAAACTATAAATTAAATTTTAACATTCCATATGTTTATGCTAAGTTCATTATGGAATGAATATTAAATTGGGTTCACTTTGAATACCGTACTCAAGCTATTATTATTTCTGCATGTTTGGGAATGAACAGAATAATAAATTACTAAATTAATAAAATACTTAAAATAATAAATACATAAAATACTAAATAAGTACTTAGTTTATTATTAATTATTAATTAAAAAGGTCATTTTTATTAAGTTTATAAACCTTTAATATATAAGAAAAAAAGAAAAGTAAAATTTTCAGATAATTGGAAGCGTTTTTATATTTAATATTTTTGAATAATTGTAAAACAAGTTTCAATTAAAAATTTTAAAATTTGTTTAAATATATAAATCAAGAATGTAATAACTTTTATAAAAGTTATATGTATGATATATTTTTCTTAATTCATTCTTGTTTGTTTTAGCTAAAACTCATATCTTTCATTATTATTAACATTGAAATAATTATAAGAAATAAAACTAAAGTTCAAAGTTTAAACCATAAGTAAGAACATATATCACAGAAATACTGCTCAAGCGAATCACAATGAAATAACTTGTTAGGGAAGAAAGAGAAAGAAGAGAGTTGTTTTTAAAAAATAAAGGAAAAAAGAGAGGTCTAAGAAGCTAAATCGTAGAAAAGTCTTTGAAAGAAAGATCTCCTGCACACACACGCACATACAGATATAAATATAAAAACGCGTCCGGAGTTTTGCGGTTGAACGGTGACTCGCGAGTCATCTATGGCTCATAAAGAGAGAAGCTTATGAGTGACGTTGTCTCTATCCCCCTCCCACTCTTACTTTTTGACTCTCTCAGTCTTATTCTCATTCTCAATCTCACTTTCTCCCTCACATTCATTTGCTTCTCGCGTTTCGCGGCTTTAGTTTTCACGTATATCTATTGGTCTTTGTAAATGTCTGTAAAACCTCAACTTCGACGGGCAGACTAAAAGAGAAAAATCTTAATAATGGCTAAAAATGGTATTATCTTGTATAATGTGAATAAATAAGAATAAAAGTTAGAGAGTTTTAATAAATCTGAATAAAGATTAAAAGATAGAGAATCTTCATAAATCTGAATAAAGAATAAAATATAGAGAATTTCTTGTTTAATAAGAAAAAAAGATAGAGAAACAAAAAACTAAGAATACTTTTAATATATCTTTAATATTTTTTTCGTTTTATTAGTTTCCAATCTAGAATTCGAAATTGATTAATGGACCATCTATGTTTTGAAAATTGGAACATAAGAAAATTAATGTATTAATAACACGTATATTATGTTTTTGGAGTTTGCAATATATTAATACGACTTTTAGTACTTTTTAATTTATATTTTTTACTGCGTTAGATTATATATTTATACATATAATGATTTACATTAATTTATAAGTTATATTTCTTTTTTGGTATGTAATACTTTTATTTAATTATTTTGTAATAGCAGTATTTATATTTAGATATCATTACACTAATTTTGAAAATTAAATGATATTTAAAAAAATAAGATATTTCCAACATAGAATGTGACCTAAATTTAAAAATTACAATAATTTGTTTAAATTATACAGAAATTTTATCAATTGTGTGACTAAAATTATGCTTTATTCTTTATTAATAATTACAAATAATATTCTTTGATGCTAAATATAGAAGATCAATTTATCAAAATTATTAACATTATTTAATAACAAAATTAATAACAATTAAATTAATCACAAAAATTGATTACGCTTTATTATTTTTAGTTTTCATTAATTATTTTTTTCAATATTTAAAATTATTTATACATGAATTATGAAGTCAATAATATATATATGTTCAGATTTTATTATTAAAAATTTTTATTTATGTGTTTTATGATAAAATGAATGTAATTTTGTTATATAAAAATACATGTTAATTTATTTTTCTACTTTCTTTAATTTGCAATACTTCGAATTATTCATTCTTAAACTTATTCTTGTAAGTGTAAAATAAAAAATAGACTACATTTACAATAGAATGAAATAAGTAAAATATTTTACGAATTTAATGAATGAATATATATTCAGATTAATAAGTATTGAAATAGTAATTAATAGATTTCCGTAGTATTAAACATGGATAGCGCGCTTGGTAGAAGGGTAGTGACGAAAAGAGGGAACAAAGCCAGGAGAAAAAGAAAGAAAGTCGAAAGTACAAAACCGCATATATTCGTCCATCGTATTGCGGGGAGACAAAGAATTGAGAGAAGTGCGAGAACAGGGAGAAAGAGTCGAGACAAAGAGAAGCGAGAAGAAAGTCGATAAATCGCTGTTTGCGTACAACGATGAGCACGTATAATGGCTTTTTACGATAGGGTCCTCGCGAGACCATTTCTGCATTTGATATTTAAAGGTTTGCCATGAGTGGATGTACCCGACGGATAGTTGTGGTCTGTCAAGCCACTCGCCTTCCCCCTGTTATCGTGGGACTTTCCCTGTATACGTCAACTCTTTTTTCCTATGCCAACTGCTTTCCTAAGTTGACCTTCTTTAATCCTTTGTCGTTGGCTGGAATAATCATGCAACCATATCTATTACTTTTTATCTATGATTATAAAGTTAACTTAAGTCAGCAAACTGAAATGTCTGATGTGTATTCTTATAAAGAATTGCTATTTTATCCATTGTAATTTGTATTTTCTAATTTCTATAAGTTATACATTTACAAACCATCAGTTTTTTAAAGCAAATTCCCAAATATAAACACTTCTGTTCAAATTTAAAGAGTGATGCGTTTTTAAGCAACACATTATAATATTTAGGTAACTGTATAGCAAATTATAAAATAAAATTAAAAGTTATCATGATTATGTAATTATAGCATAAATATTTTCAAAAATGTCAAGTGTATGCTTAAAATTTGGCTGGTGCAAAATTTTTTTGTCAAAATTTAATAATATATATAATTTAATAATATCTTGTTCGAGATTAGTGTAAATACTTTATGTATTTTAATTAATTTATGCTTAAATACTAAAATATTTTAAAATAATGTTTGATTATAATATTAATATAGAATTGTAAAATGCTTAATCTATTTAAAAGTAGGACATGATGCTCTTCGATAATAAGAATAGTAAATGAATTTTTATATTAAATGAATTTATATTTTAGTAAGAATATATGTCACAATTGCACTAAGGAAAATAGAATACTATTGATTTAATTGCATATAATTATTATAAATTGAACACACTTTTAGCGGCAATGATAAAAAGTAATGTATAAACAATTATTATCATATAATTAAATAATAAATTAACTTTATTAGGTTTCATTCTTTATAAATCCATTAATATGTAGTTAAATTTTTCATTCTTTATATTTACTAGATATTTAAAATAAATATCTTATAATATATATAGTAAATAATGAATAATTGCTTATTATCTCATTTTGTATAAAAAATAAATAATCATGCATATACGATTGTATGTATCTAAATGAATTTATACGCTGAAAGCACTATTAAAAGTTTTAATTCATCTATTGACATTTAATCAATTAATATTATCAATTAAGTTCCATACTTACACCATATATGGATACACACATTTTATGCTATTATATAAAAAAAATTAAAAATTTTTTTATTATTATATTTTGTTTAATATAAAATGATTTGTAACTTATAATCACGATACTTCAAATTAGTGTATTATTACATTTGCAAGTAAATGGTTTATGTTCATTTTTAAAACCATCAATAATGTTTTTATATATAAATAAATTAAATAAAAATAAATTATTAAAATACTCATTCGTTATTTGAAATATTATTTTTTGGAATCTATCAAACATTGAAAAAAATTAGAATATAAATTAAATGCTATATTTCAATATTAAATTTTATAGAAAGGCTTATAGAATACATAGAGGAAAACGAAGAAAGAGAATTAAAAAATGAGTTACAAAGAAATTCAGCAAATATTTATTACATGAAAAATATTTACGTATGTACAATGTATTAGTCTATTTTTTATGCTTTTCAATTTTTTGCATTAATTTTTTTTTATTTTTTTTTAATTATTTTTTTTTCTTTCTTTCATGTTCACTTCCTCTTATATTTTTTAAATTTCTTATAGAATGAATTCTAGAGAAGAAAAGCAAAAAAAGAAAACATTATAGTATAGATGGTTTTAGCTCTTCTTGGAATTGCGTATTATTGATGTTGATTTCCGTCATTTTAGCCTACAGCTACATCATTTGTGTGATTCCATGATAATTATGTGTCTACCAGCAAATCTATAAATGATGTATTGTTTAAAGTTATTCTTTCTAAAATTTTCTGCTTCTTATTTTTCTATGTAGAGCCATTATTATAAGATTTGATAAAGTTGATTTTTAATCAAATTTAACAAGAAACTAAATAAAATAAAAGAATCAGATTAAAGAATGCAATGATATTCATAAAAAGTTATGAAGAAATAATAAAATGTTATATTTTATGTAAATAATATATATATATGATAATATAATGATATATTAAAATTTATAAATGTATATAATATATATATTATGTAGATATGTATAAAAATTAAAGAAAATAATAATAATAATAGTATGAAATAATAATATTATGATAGTATTATTTAACATTTTTTTGTTTTATAAAATATATTTATTTTATATATAATTTTATATATAATATATATAATACGCGTGATAAATAAATTTAAAAATTATAAAACAAAAAACATTTGAAATGCACATAAATAATTTTAGAATATATATAAAAATATTAATTAATTAATTACTTGATTGATTACAATCCTTAGATGGTAATAATTCCTTTTCAGTTTTTATATGAAATATTTAGAACATATTTTATATTTTTTGCGATGCATATTTTTACAATAAAAACCATTCATTTTACCTTTTTGCATTATTTATTATCAAAATATTGATATACAAACTGAGTTTTCACGATATATTATAATTATAAAAAATTGTTATAATTTATGTAAAATATTCAATGTTTTATTTAGGATTTATTTATTTTAATAGTGTATAATATATGTATTAAATTAAATTAAAAAATTTTTTTCTTTGTATTCTATTTTGTTACTATTTTATATTTTTAGTATAATATTGATATATATTACTTTTATCTTCTATTTATTACTAATTTATTGCTTAGGAATATAATAAAATGAGTATTTATAATTTTAAGTTAGATATTTATATTCATAACAATTTCATTTGTATTGTAACTAAATGAAAAGTTATAAAATGTTTTTCGTATTTTATAATATATTGATAAAAAATTATCAATAATTTAAAATATATTTATTAAAATATTTATGTGGTAGTATTATTTCCCTCTATTCTAAATGTTATTAATTTCAATATTTTTAAAATATGTATTACTTTTAATATAATTCTATTATTTACAAAATTATAATTTGGTGATGATAATATTATTATTTATAAAACAACACTTTTAATTATGACAATTTTAAAGTATACCAACATAAAAAGTTTTACTTTTTATATAATACTAGTCACTTAATAATATTTTTTTACGATCATGAAAAATTTATACATTATCAGCATTAAAAAAGATTTTATGAACTAAAGATAAATAAATAATTTTTTCGATTGTTTATTTTTTTTTAAATATTTAAAAATAATCTAAAGAATTTGTTACATAAATATTAAAAAAAAAAAAATTACATGTATTTTTGAGTTACTTATTTTTATATTTAATTACACAAAATCGATTTACTCATAAATATGTAATTTAGGTATAATATTTTATTGTACCAAAAATTTATTCAGATGAAATATTTTACTATATTTTATATTTCTACAATTTATTTTAATCGAAAATATTAATAGAATAATAAATTCTGTAATATTACTATTAATACAGTACCGAACGACAGTTATGAAGTTAATAAATAAAAAATGAAAAGTGCCATACAAATCTTGCCGATAAATTAATAAATTCATAAAACAATAGAATTAGTAAATAAGTTTTTAAAATAAAAAATACTGATATACATACCTGAATTAATAATTGTAGAGATTTTTCATTCAACAGATCTTTTAATAGGGTCTCCAGACGTCGTTACGTTGCTCACTTTCTTCCCCTAGTATCCCAATTTCAAGTCTATTGCTGCTGATAGTAAGATTACTACTGGCCAGTGCCTCCTCACTCAAATGTAAATGAATTTGGTTCTGGTTGATGGTGCTGGTGAAGACCTGTGGATAGAGGACCATTGGTGTTGTGTTTATATAGTTCTGATTGCTGGTTGGGTTCTGATGGTAGTAACCCTGGTAGTTGGGATTATAGTTGTGGGCAGCTGCTGTAGCCATTGGCATTGGTACCGAAGTGGCCGAGGCCGGGGTTGTTGTCCAACCACCATAATGATGATAGCCTCCGGGACTACCTGTTGACGTTTCGTACATGTCTGTGGCCTCACTGGCGGGTTTTACGTTTTGTCCTAAAGTCAATGAGCTCGTCGTTGTGACCGCGTGCCCTGGATACATTGAAACGCAGCCTGGTGTATACGCATCATGCTGACCGTCTGACGGAAGCACTGCCGAAAAATTGTCTTTTACTCTATTATAATCAATGTTTTCATTTAATAATGTTAGAAATTATGTAATAAGCTAACTGTAGTATTAAACATATGTTAATATTAGACATATGTTAACTATCTTGACAAGTTAATATGCATTAATAACAATAATAAATATTAATGTTGGTAAGTAGAGATTATGAGATGCCCTAATCTGTAATATAGGTATGTAATTCAATCCTAAATATAAATATTCTAAACTAAATTAAACATATGTATTATTGCATTTAACTATAATTACATATAATGATAAATATAATTTGATATATGAAATTTGATATCCTTTTAAATAATATACGATATAAGGTATACATCTATAATTAATTTATTTTTAGAACTTTGATTTTATCTGATAAAAGTGATGAACCTTTAATCAATAATAAAAAAATTTTTATTGTACTTTGTAAGATTGCAAGTATATAAAATAAAAAATAATTATATTATAAATTTTATTCGAATTTTATTAGAAATTTTTTTGAAAATAATAAAATCAGATAGTAATTTTTTAATTTAACGTAAAATATTAATATAAAATTGAAACCGGCAAATATGATATGTAACAAACATTATGATATTTCAAAGAAAAAAGTGTTACTACGCCAATGTGCTACTACGCGATATGTGATAATAAATCATCCTTCGTGTACTTTGCAAGAAATAAAATAATGAAAAAAAGGAAAATTATGAGAAATCGAAACTTAACGACCTACGTCAATTATATATAGGCAATCAATTTTCATACTATTCTATGTTACTTACACTATGTAAAGAAGGTTTGAGAAAGGAGCAGTACGCAGAGAAAATTTTATTCGACACTGCTTTTTTATATGTATTTTGAGAATCCCTGCTTTTCTCAAACTTGTAAAGCTATTTATTTACAATCGTAGGTGGAATACTATGCTATAGCTATCAATAATGCAGAATTTCCATACAGGTCAAGTAGATTTCTCCAGTCGCGTGCAGTGTATCATGCAAAAAAGTTTGATGAGAAGAAGGAAAAGAAGAAGAAATAGAATAATATATAGAAAAACAATATACACTTTCTAAAATCTTCTATAAGCAAATATTAACGGAAATACAATTGAAATTGTTTTCAATATTTTTTAGTACAATTAATGTCTAAGTTTCATAATTAATCAATATTTTGATACACATTGTTTATATTTTCTTATTAAATTATTAAAATTTGCAAGATGTTACTTAATGATAATTTTCAAATATTTTTGGTGCCATATCATTTACAATTTTTATTTAAATTATTAAATATTTTTCAAACATTAAACTACTTTTATATCATATATACGATAATTTAGATTTAGAATAAGTGAAAATAGTTGATTATTTAAAATTTTGATTTTGATTTAAAAAAAAATTATTAATCAATGAATTTTCAACATTTTATTTAAAAATTTTAGAACTAAATGATTTGAAAATAATGTAATACCAATAATATATAAATCAATATATTTCTGAAACAAGTACATGTAAAGAAGATAATTTTGTACTTTACACAATAAAGATTTCTATCTAACATCATTTTCTCTTGCAATTATTGAGGATGAAAATTTAGTTAGAATATATTTATAAAAAGCACATATCTTATATTAGCTGAGTATTTAAATACACTAATCATAAGCCTAATACTACACTCACTGAGAAGTTTAAAGGATACTTGTACATGTAAAGTTGATTGATGAAAAAACCTGGAAACTTACTTAAAAGCAAGTACTCGCGCAAGATATAAGAGGGAGGAAGAAAGAGAAAGTGAGAGAGGGCGGGAATGAATGAAAAAGGGAGATAGACTGACTTACCAGTTGGTAGGGGCACGGGTTCGGTGGTTGGATGATGGGCGAGCGCCTCGCCCGGATAAGAGAAAGCGCCACCTGGTATGGGTGAGTAGGAGCCACCTCCACCTACAACGTTTCCTGCGGGTGCCGGGTAAGACGGCGCCGTGGATGGATACGCCCACTCCGTCGTTGTCGCACTTCCGGCAGTACTGGAGTCTGTTAACAAGCAAGAAAATTAAAGGTTAATTACTGACTGATTTGAGCGAACCATTATCGCTACTTTCATTTCAATATACTTTTTTTTTATTTCTTGAGCAGATCAATTCAGAAGCTGCGATGCATTGTGATTACACGTTATTTTTTTTATTTAATTTTTAATAAAACAATTGTAATAGTAAAAATAAATGCTGATTAGGTATTATATGTAATGAAAATTTATATTTTTTTTGTTAAATTAGTAATGACCGAAACAAAATTTAATTGTTAAAGTTAATTTTAAGTTAATTTGTAAAGTATAGACAATAATATGTTTAAAACAGCTCTTTAAATTTTAAATTATTTTATCGTAAAGTTTTAGTAATCATAATTGTTCTAATTATGATATTAAGTAGTTTTATTAATTTATTCGGATATTCCGAATGATGTATCAACTATCTTTATACGATATTAGAAATACACATTTTTTTACTTAATAATGCATAAATTATGTTTAAAAAGGGATTATTTAATGCTATATAATTAAGAAATATTGAAAAACTTATATTTGCAATAAATATTTTTAGTCTCAGCAAAAAAATTGCTTATAACTATAAATAAATATTATATGGATAGTAGTTTTCACAGTAATACCGATTAATAATAATTTTTTATTTATTGTAATGAATTAAATGGAATAAAGCAAAATTAATTAATAATTATGGAATTATATTAATAAAAGTAATAATATAGCTAAATGTTAATTTATATGTTTTACAGTCTTTTGGAAGTAGAGTTGTACATACATCCGGTACATTACATATCCGGCTATTATCGATGTGACTATGTACAGGCTTATGATAGATCAACGATCACATCAATGAAATGAATCGAACGACTAAATTAATCTTTCCAATAAAAAATGAAGATTTTCAACAGTTTTTGTACCTTGAGTGTATTAATTATAAAATTTCCTTTTTTCTCTGATAGTATATTAAGATGGGAAATATGTTGATTATTTTGGTATTATATTATTTGAAAACGTAATAAACTTTACGGTATTTAAGATACATAAAACTATAAGTCAATACAATAAATTGAATGTGTGATAAAATTTAATTAAATATAAATAATAAAAAAAACTATAATAATGGCGATTATTAAATTATCTTTGTTATATACAAAGTTATAAGGAAACAAAATTCAACTTCTTTCATATTTTAAATTATTAAGTATTATAATGATGTCCTCTGTTGCACCATAAACTACATTACTTTTTGTTATTTTTGACTTATTATTTAAATTAAATTCAGGAATATAAAAAATAGATGAAAATAAACGACCATATCTATGAAATTATTATTTATTAATAATTTTGGTCTTTTTATTTAATATTCTCAATAAACAGTGAGTATACTAAATTTATTTTATTAAAATTTAATACAAATAGAAATAGATCTAGGAAGTATATTTCTAAATGCGCTCTACAAAACCACGCATATTTACAGTATTTCTTTTAATTTTTACTTATATATTTTTACTTATTTTTTTAATATTATAATTTTCATAAGGAATAAAGAAATTAATTTTTGAATGAACTGATTTCATTGTGCTTGAAATTTAATAAAATAACGAAATGGTCACTGCTTCAAAGTGTACAAGTGAGAAAGAACGGAATTAAAAGACTAACCAAAGTTTCCAGTCTGACAATATATATAATGTAAAATAATCAAGAATTCCTCTTTGACCCTAGCAATTTTCTTTTTTACCTCAGTTTCATATAACTAAAATTATGTGAAGAAAGTTATTCATTTGTTTTGTTAATGTGAGTTTTGAGACAGACGAGTAAAATGAATCTTAAAATGAAACGTTATATAGAAAGTTTCGCTTCTTTTCATAAACTTTTCAATGTTCGAGCTTAAAAAAAAATTTTGGAAATTGTAATTTTGGAAATTGAATAAATACTAAATCTTATTAATTAATTTTATTACTAATATTATTAATTAACCAGTAGTATGTAGATTGTGAAAATGTTGATGCGTAATATTTGTATTTACCAAAAAATAATTTTTAGAATCACGTATTTATACGTATCAAAAATTAAGTAAAGATGAAATTCAGCAGTAAAATCTTTTTTTATTTATTACAATAGTATCTCTCAGATGAGGTAATCCTTTTTCTTCAGAAACATTACTGATTTCAATAAAAAATAAAATAAATTACCTGATAATATAACGGTACTAACATCATCTATTTAGGTTTACTTAGAAAATCAAATCTCTAGACAGAAAAACTCAGTGGTCCAGAGAAAGGAGAAGAAAATTGTACAAAAAAGCCTCATTCTATGCAGAACCGTGACAGAGTGCATTAATTGCGGTTGGACGGTTGAAATTAAACGCATACTATGTTTATGACTACGTCTCTACCTGTTTATTTCTTATTATCCTCAAAGCAGGCATATGCATATATAGGCATAATTGGCTGCGAACCAGTAATTAAGGTTCTAATAAATGTCTCTAGGCACTATGTAAGTATTATATGTGAAATAGAGGTATACTAATTATGTTGCAACTTCGATGTTTTATTAATTGCATATATTTGTGCAGTTCTACTTTAATTTTCTCATTTGCACTGCAATAGAACAATCGAGTACAAATTGTAGTGAACAGTTTAAAGTTTATTTAAGGAATCATTTTCGGATTTTTCTGTATTACAATTTTATTTCTCTCTAGTCTTAATTTTAATAATTTTGTAAATGATTAGTTTTTTGTATTTCATCTTGATTAATTTGTCAATAGAATTAGTTTGCGATAATATAGTGTTAACTCTTTACGAAATTATCAATACTATCATAAAAACTCATAAAATTCTACATTAAATATAAAATTATAGATTAAATTATTATTTTAATTATTATTGCACGAGAAAAATATAAAATAGAGGTTTTTTGCAATTAGCGGAAATGAGAATAATGTTTGTATTTAGCTTTTTCTATTAATAAAATTCATTTTAATGTTTCATTAATACTAAAGAAAAAAACTTTCATTTAATTTAATTATTTTAATATATAACTTAATTTAATATTAATTAAATTTATTAATCGCATATTACTTCTTTTTTTAATCAACATTTGTTTGTAAAAACCGTTTTAATCAAGTAATATTTTATCAGTAATAAATTCTGCATTTCTAATTCCACTAAAAAAAAATTATTATTTCATATTAATTTTCATATTTTTAATTTATAAATTTTCAATTAATAGAATATACCAAGAAACTTTTCCTACAAACCAATAATAAAAATGGTAAGTTTTGTATTTGTAATTTACGTATTCAATTTCAGATATAAAATGTTTTTTCATATAATTATATATTTCATAATAAATAAATTATATTTATAATAAATTATATTAAATTAAATAAATTATATTTCAAAATTTAATATAAATTTAGAAATAATAGATAAATTTTATAAATTTAAGTATTACTCTTCATAGAAATTTTTGGATTGTAAGATATTAAAATTTATAAAGTAGAATAATGTCAATATGTTTGAATATGAAATTGTACATAAAATCATATATGTTTAAGATACATTATTTTACCATATATTAGATTACTCATTTTACAATCAATTCGTTGTCTTTAAACATTTATATAATTTAAAGCTTAAATAATTAAAAATTATCTAGGAAAAACCCACAAAAGAATATGTAGAAGGATCAAGTTCATACAGCGAGATTACCGATTTAATATTATCGTTATCCTTGATTTTTCACAAGTATTATCAATCGGAACGAAAATAAACTAGAAAGGAGTTTAAACTATCAGACATTTTTTATGAAGAGTGCAAGAGTTTATTGACTAAGACAAAAGGCAGTTCTTGGTAAATTTTACTGAATTTATGGTTCGTGCTACTTATTTTATGTGGATTCATTTCATACGTTTCATGATTTTAGACTTACCCAAACGTGTCTGATGACTAAAATTATCTTATTATGATTGAGTAAAGTGAAAGCCCAATTCGGAAATTGCTGATTTTCACTCATCTGAAAGAAGTATGCACTAATTGTAGTAGTATTTGTTATAACCGGAAGCCCTTCATTCGTGATTACAATATTAAGTATGAAATGATCGAGATTTTATTATTTTATATCTTATTGATTTTAATTATATAATTAAGCAATACTTCTGATTAAATAGACTGTATTTTACATTTCATTAATTTTAATTTGATTAAAAATTAAAAAAATTAATTTATTTTAAAATTAATTTTATTTTATAAAGGTTTAAATTTACAATGTTTTGGTTTTTATTATTAAAAATATTTCTAATTAATATTATTATTATCAAAAGAGTTATAAAAATCTTCCAAATCTAATAAATCTGAACAAAATAAAATAATATTAAAATAATTTAAATGGTTAAAATAAATATTTTTACGAAAACATTAGTGTCTCCTATTAAATTTATTTAAAATATTATAACGGAATAAAAGAAAAACATTAAAAAATGTAAATATCGATTCAAAATAAATAAATAAAAAACTCTCGTATATTTTATATCATGACTTATAACTATGTAATTTAATTAGAGTTATTTAGTAACAATAGGACAAAATATATATCTTATAAAAATTGTTCAATTATATGTTTAATGAATAAATATATTTAAACTGTCATCATATAAAAACTATAGTACAGGAGTTCATGTTCTATCTTCATTACATGATGTTATCAAAGTTGAACCAAATTGTGAGTTACTACTACTTAGTATATTTAATCATTGTATTAACTAATAGTTATTACATTGTAATATAGTATTAGAGCAAATATTTCAATCATTACTATTTATAAATTGCTTTGATACTTACAAATTACTATTAATCGCTATAAAAAATTAAACATATTTAGTGTTTTTAAACAAAGTCCAGAGACTATTATATACACCTATAGGCACAATTATAATAAAAGAATTTTACGTACACACAAGTTAAGTATTCAAGGTGCCGAACATCAAAGT